TGAACAACGATCCAAACAAACACCTTCACAACAAGATAAACCATTTACAGAGAGATCACCGACATGGAGGAGATTTGATTTGTTTAATCAGTGAAAGGAATCAGTGAAGTAACTTTGGAACGACTGGTTTACAAATGTCGAGCAAAGATTTCCAAGATAATAGTCAACAAGGAAGGAAGCACAAAATGGTTTTCGTAACTAAACATTAACTGACGACCGAGATGCAGATGAAGATAAAAAAAAAAAAAGTTAAAAAAAAGGAAATGATTTCTCCTCTCACTTTATTTGTCTCATTTATCAGTGTGATCTAGCCTGCGTGTCTAGTCAACTTTTGTGGGGTGGGGGGGGGAGAGGGGGGTGTGGCTCTTGATTGACATGCTGACACACGCATGTTTTAAGATAATGATCAGACTTATGTAGAACTGAGGACCGAGGACGGAAACTACTGAGAGAAAGTGAGGCTTAAATCGAATGGATTTAAATTTCTTCATGTTAATTTCCCATCAGGCCACAGTAACTCAGCTGGATGCACGGTGTTCATACGGGGGCAGGAAAGTCCCCTGTGAGCCGGGGCAGGGAGGGGAGTCTGTCTCAGGAATGCAGCTCCCCTCTGCCTCTTGGAGCAGAACACAATCAGGCATTCCTCATGGAGGTGTTTATACTCCACAGTGTGGTGTGGTCCATCCTCGCTGCATCTGGGACTGTCTCCACAATGTCACCGTCAGCAGCCCGTCATCCAACACAAATAAAACACGACGCAGTGAAGTGTCGACGCACTCTGAATAGTTTGGCTGCTGAATGTACTGCTGTGCATTTTGGCAAAGCCAGCAGAGCGACGACGACGGCTCCATCCATTTGTTTCAGACTCGACAGTCTGTCTAGTCCCCAGTGACATAATGCATTGTGTCCCAAAGACTGGGTCGCGGCCCTCAGGTGGGTCGTCTCGCAGCATGTTTCCCAGGAGTTTACGAATAATGTCTATTGACTTGGGTTGCGAATGTTTGTGACTTTTAAAGAGGAAAAACATGTTTGGGAAACACTGGACTAATGGGTCTATTGAATTGGGTTGCGAATGTTTGAGAAACACTGGTCTAATAAAGGCACTGACCTCCTAAGGCAGGGGTTGTGGGTTCGAGTCCCATCTGGGTTTAGTTGTTAACACTAAACTGAGACCTACAGCATGAATAGTTGTTTGTTTTTACATGTGGCCCTGTGATAGGCTGCTGAACTGTCCGGGGTCTGCAGCGCCCCCACCTGACCCTGATGACACCTGACTCTGAGGTGGAGGCGGTGGCAGAATCTGAATGAATGAATGTTTCCGTCGTGGTTTCCACAGCGGTTCCTGACCCTCCGTTTGTCACAGCCGCTCGGCTACAAAACGCCATAGAACTGTTGTTGGCTGCACTTCAGAGGAACTGTTCACCTTTGAAGAAAGAACTGATGGACTCTGTGGGATTTCTCCCTAAAGGCACAGTTCACCATTTCACAGTGAGGTACAGACACGTCGGCCGAGCTGGGACTGAAAGTCGATTTAAAGTTCTGATTCTGACTTTGAAGTCTGTTCTCTCTTCATATGATTCTTTGTATTCCGGCTCCGCCTTCAGCCGCCAGCTCTGGTCCACACCGCCGGCTTCACCGGTCTGGGCAGAACGTGATGTACTGCGTCTCAGCTCACTGATCTACTGAACGCTTGAGGTATAAATGTAATGAAAACAGAATTAATTCTGGTGCAAAATGACCTTCACTAAACAAAAAGTCATTCCTTGAGACAAGACTTTTTAGACTTTTCTACAGTGTAGATCGTCTGATCTTCTGTTTCCTGTTGGATTTTTAATGGATAAACAGTGAAAAGGTTTAGACAGATTTACTTTGGCTTTTCAGACTCCGAGGTGAATTTTGATCAAGACCTAGAGATGGTAACGGTTTATTTAACCAGTAGTCGAGCAGCACTAATTTGCATAATCTCAGTAGGAGTTTAATTACGGTCCAATCACAGGGTGAATTTGCTGGTAAGAATCGTTTAGTTGCCGTGAAAATGTTCAACCTAACTCAGAGTAACTGGGTCTGAGGGAGTTCATCACCGTAGACGGACTGGAAGTGACTTCCATCAGCAAGTTTTCAATCAGTACATGGAGCCGTTCAGTGTTTCTCAGTGTCTCTCACTCTCTTTGTCCTTGTCTCAGTTGAGCACATTCCAACAATTCTTCACTGTCTCTCTCTCTCTCTCTCTCTCTCTCTCTCTCTCATTCAGACTCCTTTCTTTTGCCGCTGCAGACGTCGACATGACACAGTGGTCTCACAGCGTAAATCGTTGGATCAGAACCACGTCCAGATCTTCAGCTCCGTCTCAGACGACCGTAACAATGACAGACATATTTCTGCATTTCAGCAACTTTGTTTTGGCATTCTCAAGTGCTTTTGCCACTGGCGTTGTGAAACCTGAGACCGGTGGTGGCTGGTCAAAGTCCCGGGGCCCTCAGGGGTCAACTAATGACTTCCCATTAGTCCATGTGGTCTACATGATCTTCTATTATCTCAGAGACACGCGCTTAAGCCAGTCTATCTCCACAGCTAATTGAGGGTCACTTGTCTCCTCCCTCGGCCCAGCATGCATCTCCATTCAGACACACACACACACACTCGCATGCACATTCATAAAAGCCTGGCCTTTTGAACAACACAAATAC